CCCCAAAACCCCAAAACCCCAAAACCCCGAGTGAGATGGTAAGATTTGAAAAATTGTTAGTTAGGTAGGTCAATGATGGTAAACTGGAATTTAAACTATGTTAATGACCTTATTTATTCGCGTCAAAAGAACGGAAGATAATGATTGTTTCAATATACCTCTTTTAAGCAGTATGCTTTATCTAGGATTTATATTACTTGATCATACTGAGAGATCCCCTGGTTTGGCTGGCCTACCTGACTCATTCCACTAGGGTTTATGACAATAGGAGTGTCCAGTACGACAGGGGATATTTTTATAGTAGACGGATTTTCAGGATGGATCATGATCACATCTTCCCTATATAAATAATTTCTTATCCTCACCCATTTATTTTGATTGTTTCGATCTTACAAGGTGTGGAGAACTTGATTATATTCGAGTTGATTCTCATCTCTCCATTCTCCAGGTATATAATGTTTGACTCTTCTGAATCAGAGTCTTTCTTCACTGTAGAGATGATATCATTCAAAGAGATATCTTTCTCTTTGATACTATCATCCTTACCTGTATCAGTTGGGCTCTTAAAGGAGTCCATGTAACTGTAGTACTTAGTACTAATCATGGTGCTGGGCACGGTCTTCTTGGACTCTGGCCTGATAGTTTTCATCTTTTTCGATTCTGAAGAGATACTCTCTCTAATATTCCTATGTATTAAACTCTAGGCCATACTTCAAAACAGGATTCGGCTCGCTCTCTGTGACTCTTTCTTTTGGATTTTCTTGAAAATCTGAAAATGTGTAAAAGGACATTTAGATTATCAAAATTAAGATTTTAATCCTTTCACAATTTTAACAAGGGCTTTAAAATATTCTCAGATCCGAATTGGCAGTGGAAATTTGAGATGAGAAATTTTGAAATTTTTGAGTTTTAGCCCTGAGAGACTAAATTTAGGAAGGAGGGTTTACCCCAAGCTTTTGCTTTGAAGATTATGAAATATTTTTGTAGCTATATCCTCCTCACAAGCTTTATAGAAGTTCATAAGCTATTCTAAATTATGATGATCAAGGTTTATCTTTAAAATTCATACTCGTGTTCCTTTGATACACAAAATCTTATCAAAGTTATTCTATATAAGGTTCTAAAGCAGCCAAATAACTTGGATGATAAACTAGTGAGATTCCAAAAAGGAAGCTTAAGATGATCATTAGCCTTCTAATGAATTTAATTCATTTCTGATTGACAGGGCTTACCTTGAGGAACTTTGGAGAATTCATTGATATATTCCAAAGGATACTCAGTCTGATATTCCTTCTTAATACGGTTGAAGTATTTTTGAGCATGGCTTCTCACCTGAGGCCCTGTTCTTGTCGGTACTCAGTTCTCAAGTTTGGTCCAATCCTTACCATATTTCTTGAGACCTGAAGGATTAAATGTAAATTACAAGTGATGAATTGGATATGTTCTTCATTAGTCCAACGGCCTGTGACAATTATGTTTCCATCATTGCCTTCCTTTTCCTATGATAAGTTAAATCTGATATTTCAGATAAAGACAAGGTAACACAAGAGAAGAATAATAAGACTAGTTTTCTCTCAAAATCTTCTTTGCATAAACCTTCAAATCTCTGAGAAATTGCTCAAGGATAGAACTTTAGCGATCCTTGCCACCTTGCATGGTACTAAAGATATCATGGAGCACAACTAGCATGAAATGCTAAGTGACATGGGCCAACCTCTGCCCCCAGATCCCAGTAAAATTCTCAAATCTCCAAGTACTAAAGACAGAGGTTGTCAAAGTACTACCAATCTGTCTAAACTGAATATAGTAAGAAGAGTTATCTCAAAGGATTTAAAGTATCTCTTCGAATATTCCGCAGCTGTCAGAGACCTTGAGGAGCTAAAGTAATTGTGTAATGCTTGAGAAGTGAACAAATGGCCCAAATATGCTCATTATAGATCTAGATTGGACACTTTTAGGTGCCAATTTAAGCTGAACCCACTAGACTAACTCATTGAAATTCTTCAATAATGAAAGAATTGCAATTTGAAAGGTAAAATTGTTTGCTTTTATTATTAAGAGATGAGACTCAAGGCAAGAATTTACCTATTCTAAAGCAACTTACTTAATGAGAAGCTATCCTTCTGACTATAAGGGAGGGTATTTTAAACAATAACTTCACTAAGAAATTCTAGAAAGTTCTTGGGCAAAAGTCTGTACATAAAGTATAAAAGTGATACTGAAGCAAAAACTAATCATCTTCTCAGCACTTTGCTTAAAGATGCTATCGTCGGGCTTGAAGCAACTTTAGACTATCAACTATGCTAATTTTTACAAATCTAGGCATCAATTCAGACGCTTTTGATAATACTGAGAGGTGTGTCCAGCCCTACAATGTCTTAGTTCATACAAACTAGAGTGTAAAATCATGAACCAGAGATTTAATCAAGAACAGGTGTTGTTTTAGAGTTAAAATAGTATCCTCAGAGTGAAGATTTTAGCCAAAGTTTAACTTTTAGTTAATTTTACAATAATTTTAGCAAGAGGTCTGGCTAAACAACACCTTGAGACTTAGTATGAAGCCTGTATGAAGCCTGTATGAAGAACTTTAGAGTATTTATAGTAGAGAGTGCTAAATTACCTTCTTTGGCTCATTATTCAACTTTTCCTCTTCATCTATAGCAATGTTAAATGGTAGGAAATGAAGAATATCGAGCTGAGACTGAGTAACAATAAAAATATGATAAATACAATGAAAATTAGACCATAAATGTTAGAAATAAGTTTGGAATAATTTTGTGTAATTTTAAAGTGTATAAACCCCAATTTATGAAGAAATTTGTATATACTTTGATCGCTCTTGCTTTCTTCCATCTTTTAAAAATAATTATGTAAAAATTTAATAAAATCTCGAGGTCATACATAAAAGTAATTACAATCACAATTAAGTGATTATGGTAAGGATTGGCCAAAGTTCGCTAAAATACGATCAGAGTCTTTATATTTACACACTAGACAGAGCTAGCTAGCTTAATGGAACGAATATTTTTAGGTTCTTAAGAACCAAACTGTTATTACTAATCCTACTTCATCTAATGTGCATGCCTAGCTTAACTCTTCAAATTAAGATTACTCCTTCAAATCTAGGCTCAGTGTTATTTATAAGGAGGATTTCCAGATCAGCTTGGATAGAAGCCCCAGTCTTGCTCTCTGATTACATCATTTAGCTTTAAAATGTCAGCTCTTATACTAGCTAAGACCAGGATTAAGCTGTTTTATCTAACTTACTATTTGCTCTGTTGCTTCTTCTAGAGACTATCATGCCTATTCATTGCAACAATAGCCGATCTAAATCGTACGTTATATAGATTAAGAGTGGCAAAACCGAATTAAGAACCCGATGGGAAAGCTAGACACTGTTTTCGAGCTTATCAACTCTTAGTACTCCCAATAAAATATTTTTAGGCTATAAGCATACCTGGAGAGCCTCTTAATGATTTTGGCTAACCTCAAGTACCCATTTTATTAAAGATTATAGTGAACGCTCTCTGATGAGAAAGAAGAGCAGCATGAAAAGATTAGCAGTGCAAAGCTACATGGTTATGCTTACAAGTTTTGTGAGAGCATTGTTGAAAATTTTGAGTGAATCTTAAGGGTTATTCTTAAAGCCTACTCCATTTGGTATTAAAGAATTAATTTATTAATGGGTGGTTTGCCTAGCTTCATCTAGAAATATCATTATTAAACCGGCCAAACTTCTAGTGACATTAATCAAATGGTTATCAACAAGCCTGAATAGGGTAAATCCACCAAACTGCGATTGCATTATTTCTAAAGGCAGCTTCCTCCCAGCTGGAGAGAAGCATTTCTGGACATTTTTTGCATCCACCATACCCAAAGACAATATTTTAACAGATTTTCTATAATATCAGTATTTTGGCAAAATCTCTATCCAAAAACCACGACTAGGACAAATGGAAGCTGACAGTGAATGCTGGAGCTTCCCTAGGAGCTCTACAGAGTTCTAAACTGCAAAAATTGACAATGACTCAAGGATTTCTGGAATATTCAATATTGATTTCCTACAAAGGGGTTTTGGGGTTTTGGGGTTTTGGGGAG